GTCCATGCTTAGTTCTAGATAAAAAAACCAGACTAAGAGTAGTTGGTAGTGGTCCTACTAAAATTTAACACTCCTAAAGCTACATAATTAGAGTTTCTTTGCTTTAAATCAAACTTAAGTGACAAAATTTGTATTTTGTCGCAATTGATTTAATCAAAGTTGGGGTAATTTTGGACTTATGGTGTAAACATGAAGTTTTGTCACCTTAGAGTAGACTTAAGAGAGACAAAACCATGGTTTTGTCGCTTAGGTTTAGGCCTAAGCTAGGCAACAAAATTGAAACTTTGTTGCCATTGATAAGAGAAAATTTTGAAACTAAGGCGAGAAAAATATTTCATCATCTTAGGGTCTCAACCTAAGGTGGCAACAACGTTTTTCTCGTCGCCTTTGGGTATGAACAAAGGCAGAAAAATTAATATTTTGTGGCGTTTGAGTACGACCTAAGTTAACAAACTTAGCAATTAGTCGCCTTTGATAAACCCTAAGGCGACAAATCTAAAAATATGTCGCATTTGATTAAGATGACAAAAGAAAGTTTCGTCCCCATTAACTGCAATTTAAGGCAACAAACTATCTGATTCGTCGTCTTATCGTTTAGAGAAAATGTCAAATAAGGACCCAAAGTGGGTCTCTTTTCTCAAATAAGGACCCCAAGTGGACAATGCTTCAATTAAGGACCAAAAGTGTCAAAATTAGTCTCAAATAAGGACCCAGCTTGCTAGTCGGCCAAATGTTCGACGGCCGGCGACCGTCAGACATTTTCCGGCGCCGGAATAGGGACAATTTTGTCTTTTTCTTTTTTTTTCTTTTCCCTTTTTTCTTTTCTCTCTTCCCTCTTATGGCCATTGCCGGCGATGTCCGCCGGCGTCGGGCGACGGCCGCCCTCGCCTGGGTGGGCGAGGGTGTCCCTCGCCTGGGCGGGCGAGACCCGCCCTCGCCCTCGCCAGATCCGGCGAGGGCCGCCGTCGTCCAGGGCGGCCGTTGCCCGACGCCGAATCTGGTGAGGGCGAGGGCGGGTCTCACCTGCCCAGGCGAGGGCCACCCTCGCCCACCCAAGCGAGGGCCGCCGTTGCCCGACGCCGGCGAAGGCCGCCCTCGCCTGAGGCCGGCGGACGTCGCCGGCGATGGCCACAAGAGGGAAGAGAGAAAAGAAAAAAGGAAAAATAAAAAAAAAGAAAAAGATAAAATTGCCCCTATTCCGGCGCTGGAAAATGTCTGACGGTCGCCGGTCGGCGAACATTTGGCTGGCCGGCGAGCTGGGTCCTTATTTGAGACTAGTTTGGGCACTTTAGGTCCTTAATTGAAGCATTGTCCACTTGGGGTCCTTATTTGAAAAAAGAGACCCACTTTGGGTCCTTATTTGACATTTTCCCTATTGTTTATCATAATGGGACAGAAATAATATCTTTTTTTGTCACTGTTGGTTTACCTAAGGCGACAAAAATTGAACTTTTATGTCACCTTTGGTTGGACTGGGGAGTGAAAGTTTTCCTTGAACAAGACAAAAATTAGTTTTAAATTTTTAATAGGTAGATGATGTAAATAGTAATTAATTTGTGCTAGTCATAACAGACAAACATTTGATACTAACACAAAGGTCGCAAACGGAAATTTAATATTTATTTCTAGATTGTAAACTAATAAGACATATGTGATATAATTAGTGAAACGTAAATATTTTGTGGTATGATTGAATATAATGCTTGCGTAATTATTAGATATGTTTGATTGATCTGTGTGTGTGTATATATATGTATAAATCAGTAAATTTTGAATAATTATTAATAGAAAATATTAGTAATTTGTTTACCACGAGAAGTTAGACAAATTAAATTTGAGGTTATTTGGAAACCAATTTAATTAATTGCATAAACTGTTCGTTGTTTCATTTTTCTTATATAGATATATATACCTTTCTCATAAGATTACCTAACTTTGTTATTGTGAGTAAATTAATCATACTTGTCACGAATTATATAGAAACATGGCAATGTTTAAATAGGCTGCAACGGTAATGGAAATTTTATTTCAAAATTTTCAACTAATATTACACCTGCTGTAGATATTAATAAATAGAATAGAAATATTTATTCGGTAGAAAATCATCTATACATAATATAAGCAAAAATGACCACATACTTGAAGAGATCTCAATTATTATTTTTTTCTTTCTGAAATGTTCTCACTTACTTTCTTTGTATTGCGTATTTTACCAACTATTGTTTTCGATGATTTAATGATTCAAATCTGCTAAGCCAATTTTTTCTTATTATGTACAGCATATTAATCGTCTCAAATTATTTTTTAACTACTAGAGCATTATATAAATATCCAAAACCTTGTAGTATTTATCGTTAAATACTAAATTAAATTAGAATTAAAAGCTAAACTACAATGAAACAAGGCAAGAAGCATACAAAAATGGTTCTTAATTTTCACTGTCTTAAATATCATGTTTACTACATGAAAATAATATCTTCACTGTCTCAAATTTTCAAATGTCAATTTATTGCATTTCCTACTATGTATAGATTATAACTGTTCTTAATATTTGTTTAAATTATCATAAGAAAAGACTGGTCATATTTTAAATAATAGACAATCATTTTGAATTGATTACCTGTCAATCGTCTTAATTATCATAAGTTATCAGTTTGATCCTCTATAATTATGTATGGCCATAGTGCATGTAAAAAATATGCACGGTGTACTAATCAAATTGTTTTGCAAAAGTTTGAGATTGAAATGATCGTTGAATTTTCTTAATTAAGAGTATAGATAACAATTTTTTTAGAATGGATTTTTTAGTGAAATGATTAAATGACAAAAAAAAAACCTAATGAGACGAAAAAAGCCCAAAAATAAAACGGGTAGGAAAGATCCTGCCGATTGGGCCAAAAATAAAAAGGATTTTAGTCCGCTCATTGGGCCCAAAACGAAAACAAAAAGAAAAAAAAACGCACACACACACTCCTCTCTCTCTCTCTCTCTCTCTCTCTCTCTCTCTCTCTCTCTCTCTCTCTCTCATCTGATATGTATTCTTCACCCGTCGCCGCTGCTCCCGCCACCGCTCATCCCCAAACCCTTCTTCCTTGCACCATTCGTGTCGCTTGTCGTCACATCTGCCCCTCAATGAGTTTTCATATCCTATTTTCCCTTTTTTTTTTGTTTTCTCACGGTTGTTGCCGAGGCCGAGACCATAAAGATCTTGTGTTGCTGCCACAATTGTAACCTAATGCGGAGTCGCGGCAATGGCGCATGTGAGGGTCATAGCCGCGACCAGATGTGAGGGTGGCGGCTGCAATTGTGACTACTTTTCATATGGGGGTCATGGCTTCTGATATGAAGTAGGGCCATGACCTAATTTGGGGTCGTCGCGGCTGTGCGTGACCAGATCTAGGGTGACGGCCTCGACCGACCCCCGTTACCGTTATCACACTATTGAGCATAACCGTCGAATTTTGGTTAGTAATATGCTTGTTTGATTTATTATATAAGCCTATACAATTAATAATAGAAAACCTTATAATTTCCATTTATAACTAAATTGTCACAATTTGAAGATTTATGACTAAATTGGCAAATCGTCAAAATGTTTAAAACTAAATTGGCCAAATTAAAAGGTATATGACTGAATTGGTACAAGTGCAATAAGTTTATGACATTTTTTTTAGTAATTTTCTCGAAGACCTTTATATTTTATTGGGATAATTACACCATAATTCCTAAACCTTACGTAGGGAATGCAATTGAGTCTTGAACACTTCAATTGGCTCAATTAAATTATAAATCTTTACCAAAAAGTGCAATCTCATGTCATACAAAGTGTTTATGACATAATTATAAATAAAACTAACACAAAATCTGGTCCATTCCTGCCTTTGTATCATGTCAGAATAGAGGGCTTTTGGAAAAATTACCAAAAAAGTCTAATTCTATTGCTTTTGCGACAATTCAGTCCTAAACTTTTTAATTTGGGCTAGTTTAGTCCTAAATCGATTGACAATTTGTCAATTTGGTCATTCCGATTAATGTTGTCCGGAAATTGCAGATGTGGCTATCTAGTCAATGTCGGCTGTCCTAAATCTAGTAAGGATTGACGGAAGGGCATTACCAGAAGTGGAGCCTGCGGCTTAATTTGACTCAACATCGGGAAACTTACCAGGTCCAGACATAGTAAGGATTGACAGACTGAGAGCATTTTCTTGATTCTATGGGTGGTAGTGCATGGCCGTTCTTAGTTGGTGGAGCGATTTGTTTGGTTAATTCCGATAACGAACGAGACCTCAGCCTGCTAACTAGCTATGTGGATGTACATCTCCACGGCTAGCTTTTTAGAGGGACTATGGCCACTTAGGCCAAGGAAGTTTGAAGCAATAACAAGTCTGTGATGCCCTTAGATGTTCTGGATTGCATGCGGGCTACACTGATGCATTTAACGAGTCTATACCCTTGGCCGACAGGCTTGGATAATCTTTGAAATTTCATCGTGATGGGGATAGAATCATTGCAATTGTTGGTCTTCAACAAGGAATTTCTAGTAAGCGCGAGTCATCAGCTCGCATTGACTACGTCTTTGCCCTTTGTACACACCGCCCATCGCTCCAACCGATTGAATGGTCCGGTGAAGTGTTCGGATCACGGCGACGTGGGCTGTTCACCGCCGATGGCGTTGCGAGAAGTCCACTAAACCTAATCATTTAGAGGAATGAGAAGCCGTAACAAGGTTTTCATAGGTGAACCTGCGGAATGATCATTGTCGAATCTTGTCTAGCAGAATGACCAGAGAACCAGTAACAAACTCAATGGGAATGGCGGGCCTTGCCCAACGTCCCTAGACGCTTGGATGGCACGGGTGCCTACGGCGCTTGGGCTTTCTCGGCGACACAATGAACCCCGGCACGGAATGCGCCAAGGAACTTAAATAAGAGGGCAATGCTCCCACCACCCCAGACATGGTGCGTGCGTGGGATGCCATGCAATCTTCTATTATTCATAACAACTCTTGGCAATGGATATCTCGGCTCTTGCATCGATGAAGAACATAGCCAACTGCGATACTTGGTGTGAATTGTTGAATCCCGTGAACCATCGAGTCTTTGAATGCATGTTGTGCCCGAAGCCAATCGGTTGAGGGCACATTTGTCTGGGTGTCACACATGGCGTTGCCCTTAACCCCTCGCCTTGAATTGGGCGGGCGGGACTTGGGTGGGTATGTTGGCCTCCTGAGATGACCTTGTCTTGGTTGGTCCAAAATCGAGCGTTGGAGCAATTAGCACCACGACATTCGGTGGTTGATGAGACCCCAATGATCAATGTTGTGCGTGTCGCTCATTCACACGCTCCACGAATCTACCTTTCACCAACGTGACCCCAGGTTAAGCAGGACTACCCGCTGAGTTTAAGCATATCAATAAGCGAAGGAAAAGAAACTAACAAGGATTCCCCTAGTAACGGCGAGTGAACCGGGAAGAGCCCAGCATGAGAATCAAGCTTCCTCAGCCAAGCCTAGCTTTGATACCAATTGTTGTGGAAGCCAAGCGATCGAACAAAAAAAAGACATAACAATAAAATAAATCGGACACCAGATTTACGTGATTTGGTTGTAGTGACCTACGTCAACAGGCAGAGCAACACAAAATTCCATTATAGACCAAGCAATACAATGAAAATTACAATTACACTCGAGTCACTCATACACTCTAAGTGTTTCCCAAGCTCCAATTATACTCAATAACTCACGTAATGTTTAGCCTCACAATTTCTCACGAAATGACCTTTCAATCTCACAAAGGAATTACATAAATTCTTTCCACAAGAATTTAATTGATATCTTCAGGGTGTAATTCACTAGCAAAAGCTCATCTTTGATGATCTTCACAAATAACATCCCATTCTTATTTATAGGCAAGAATTGGATCCAAATTAGGAAACCTCTTTTTAGGAAACATTTTCCAATTAGAAAACCATTCAATTATGAAACTTATTCAAAATAAGAAACCTACTTGAATTAGGAAACTTTCCTTTTCGGGCTCAAAATCAAGACATATTTTTAACAATCTCCACGACATTTGAGCCAAGTTACAATCGCTTCACTGGAACTTTGCTACTACTCTTTCACAGCCCTCATGGGCTCAACCACTACAGATATCTTCCAAGTCCAAGTCTTGAGTGAACTTCGCTATAACCGTGTACCTCATTAGAACACCAACTCTACTGCACCTTTAACCACTCCACAATGATTTTTCGACACAACCTCTTCAATCGCAGATAAAGTAAAACCGTTATTGCATTCATATATGTCAGGAGATAGAATACGCACCTTGTCAATTTTAATAGTTACAACAACTGCTGGCTTTGTAGGCTCCATCTCGCTAAAAACACCATCTGTATCGATTATCACGCTAGTATTCGCTACCTCAGGAGTTTCTAGTTGCAACTCCACCTCAAGCTGAACATCGTACAAATCCGTATAAACACTGCTATAATCATTCCTAGCTAGAAGTACTAGAGACTCGCCAATGTAACTTCTCTGCTGACAACAGGTGAATTAAATTCCGGGCACCACAACCTATAACCCCGCTCACCTTGTGTATAACCTAGGAACATGCACTTTCTTGCCTTTCCATCGAGCTTACCATAACCAACTCAAACATAACATGGGCAACCAAATATTCTAAGAACAGAATAATCAGCAACGTTACCTAACCATATTTCTTGGAGAGTTCGACATCCAATCGCAGTCGATAGGGATCTATTCATCATGTAGCTCGCCGTACTAAGCGTATCCGCTAGGAATCTCCTAGTCGTACCAGCACTAGAGAGCATTTATTGGCCGTCTCTAGTAATATTTTGCTCATTAACTCTGCAACATGTTGTGGTTCACTGGCACTAATACGGTGTCTCACTATGTCTTCCTTCATGCAGAATTCTTTTAACATCTTCGATTAAAACTCCATGCTATTGTCAATCCGCATTTACTTGATCGTTTTAGCAGTCTCCTTTTCGATCAAAGCTCTCAACTGCTTGATCCTAACAACAACATCAAACTTGTGCCTTAACACAAACACCCACATCTTCCTCGAATAGTCATCTACAACTGTTAGCATAAATCTGGCATTCTTACTCGGATGAAACCGCGACAACCTGCGAACATCTAAGTGAGTTAATTCTGCAATATCCGTAGTTTCTTTGACAATCGCATTGAACTGCACTTTCCTCTGTTGATTTAAATCACAGCATCTACATACATTCAATTCATCAGCAACAAAACTACATAGCAAATTCCTTTCACTTAGAACCTTCAAGCTTTTCTTACTAATGTGCCCCAAATGGATATGCTACAATTCAAACTCTCGAATTGATCCATTCGACGTCTCCGCAGCAAATTTCGTCATTGTCTCACCTTGCAGTTCATACAGGTTACTGTGCTTGATTCATTTCATTATTATCAAGGCACCTCGAATAATTTTCAGAATTCTATCTTCTGAAGTATGCCGATACCCAACTGAATCCATGGCACTCAAGGAAATCAGATTTTTTTTCAACTTTGGACCATGCCTCACTCCAGTCAATGTCCTCACAATACCATCATGCATTTTGATTCTAACATTACCAACACCTATAACATCGCACTCAGAGTTGTTTCCCAACTGCACTTTACTACTATTTGTGCACTGATAAGTAGTAAACCAGTTCTTGTTTAATGTAGTATGAAAAGAACAACCAGAATTCATAATCCATTTGCCAAATGACGAATCATTAGTGACAGACAAGACAAAATTAACATTATCCGAATTACCGTCAGCTATAGCTACAACATCGTCCGCAGATTCAATTTTAATTCCCTTACCCTTGTCGTTTTTCAGCTTAAAGCAATCTCTTCTAAGATGCCTCCTCTTGCCACAGCTCCAACAGACAACACCACCAGTTCTATACTGACTACGTCTATTCGAGTTTATACCACTTCTGTTAACGTGTGTACTAGTTTTTCCTCTATTTTCACCTACTAAAGTAGTAGATACATGTTCATCAGATTCTCTTCTACGGATGTCTTCACTCAGAATTAAATCTCGAATATCATTAAACGTCAAGCTTGTTGACCCAGAGGAATTACTAATAACAGTAGAATCAAAGCACATACCTCATCTTCAAAATCAATGTCAACTGAACTCAATTGATTAACGATTACATTAAATTCATTGATATGATTAGCAACTAACGCACCTTCGCTCATCTTCAAGTTAAACAAACGTGGCATCAAATATACCTTGTTGATCGCAGATGGCTTCTCATACATGTCCGACAGGGCTTCCATCAAACCCGCGGTGGTCTCTCTTTCACGATGTTAAACGCGACGTTACAAGCCAACGTCAGCCGAATAACACCCAAAGCTCGTATATCCAGCAATTCCTAGTCAGCTTGCTTCATCGTTTCGGGCTTCTCCCTAAATAGGGGCAAGTGCAATTTCATCTGATATAGATAATCCTCAATTTGCATCTTCCAGAAACCAAAGTCCTTCCCATCAAATTTATCGATCCTCACTTTTCCTTCTTCTGTCACCATCGTTTTGCTTCAACTTAGCCAAGTCTAGCTCTCATACCAATTGTTGCGGAAGCCAAGCGATTGAATAATAAAATAGACAGAACAAGAAAATAAATCGGACACCAGATTTATGTGGTTTGATTGTAGTGACTTATGTCCATGGGGAGAGTAGCACGAAATTTCACTATAGCTCAAGCAATAAAATGGAGATTACAACCACACTCGAGTTACTCAAACACTCTAAGTGTTTGCTAAGCCTCAATTACACCCAATAACTCACACAATGTTTAGCCCCACAATTTCTCACGAAATAATCTTTCAATCTCACAAAGGAATTACACAAATTCTTACCACAAGAATTTAATTGACTACAACACACTCGGATATCTTCAGGGTATAATTCACTAGCAGAAGCTCCTCTTTGATGATCTTTACAAATAACATCCCCTTCTTATTTATAGGCAAGAATTTGATCCAAATTAGGAAACCTCTTTTTAGGAAACCTTCTCCAATTAGGAAATCTTTTCCAACTAGGAAACCATTAAATTAGGAAATCTATTCAAAATAGAAAACCTACTTGAATTATAAAACTTTCCTTTTCGGGCTCAAAATCGAGACATATTTTTAACAACTAAATTTGCAAATCGTCAAAAGATTAGAATAAATTAGCCAAATTGAAAGGTTTAGGATTGAATTGGCACAAGTGCATCAGGTTTATGACTTTTTTTGTAATTTTCCCGAAGACCTCTATATTTTATTGGGATAATTACACCACAAGTCCTAAACCTTAATATGTAGGGAATGCAATTGAGTCCTAAACACTTGATTTGGCTCAATCAAATTCTAAACCTTTACTAAAAAGTTCAATCGAGTCCTAAATTTTCAACTAATTCAACTAAATCTTCGGTTTTTATCATTAAATGCAATTAAGTCCTCAAAATATGTTGAAAAGTACAATTTAAAGATGCCAGATAATCATTTTTTGAGTGACAGGTAGATGATTTATGTATTATTAATCGAAAGGATTTTATTATACTTTTTGAAAGAGTTTAGGATTTAATTGAACCAATTAAAAGATATGTGATGTGATTGCATTCCATATGCAATAAATAAGACTTCTCGTGCAATTTTCCCGATCTTAAACGGATGGAGATTAAACTTCATCAACCAATCTTTGGCCACAAAACTATTAATTTTCCTTTCGAGAAGATGCTTCTTTCTCTCCTCTCGCTCCCGTGTCAAAGTAATTGAAAATCAAGTCCAGATAAGCCTTTCATCAAAATCCTCCTTGCAATGAATAGCAAATTCATTACCATAATTTGCCGGATTAAGTTCGTTTGCGTTTGTTCGGAGAACGTTCCTGTCTATGCAAAGGTAAGAAGCAAAAATTTCCTTTCATCTATTTTAACTTGAAAAAATTAGACGAAGTTGATTCGTCCAAGTGGAGGTAAAGTTTCAACCATTGCACTCTCTAAGTGTTTGATTCAGCCACATGCCTCGAACTTTCCCTTACCAACAAAGCTTTGTTCGTTTTGTCTCAGGACTCTTCAGATTAGCCACTCAGGTATGGCACATTACGACGGTCGTAGCAGCAACGATCTCTCTTTCTTCGAGATGTTCACGGAACAACCTTCACCGTGCCCGGTTTTGCTAATTCTAGGACTGCTGTCATGTTTAATATGCCTGCCAAGGTATGTCTCCTATATCTTATCCGTGAAGTCGACAAGAGAGAACATGGGTTGGATTCTTCCTGCAATTCCATTAGCCATCATGATAATCGTTCATTGTTATTCGACTGCGGATGACCATGAGAAGATGACAGTTTCCGTTGGCTGCCACGATGAGTCGGATGTTGAGGGCTTTCCATGGCGATTGGCTGCTCTCTTGGTTCTTCTGCTATTCTTGGCCAAATTACACAGGAACCAATTTTACTGGAGATGTCTTGCTAAGCAACCGAACGTGATCTTGTTTTACTATGTCCATGCATCCTAAGTGTCCTAGGCCAATCCCTCATTCTTTTTGTTACCATTTTATGAAAGGTGGTCGAGCTCTTAATGCAATTCTGAGTTCAGTGAACAGATGTGATCCAGTACTGTGAATTGCTTGCTTAATTTCTATCCTCATTTTGATTAACAAACTACAAAACTTGGTTTTGGTTATCCTAAAATCAAGGAGTAAAAAGCTACAGATAGTTCTGTCTCGTTGATTTTTTCTACCTGGTGTGGATCCAGTTAGTTTTGGTCCAATTCCACCCTCCTTATTCTCCGCTGTTGAAGCTAGTCAAATGTTGCCAAGCTCTTTCTTTGTATTCATTCACCTATTCATATGGTCCGTGCTGTTAGTTTGAAATATACAACTTCAGACATATTGGTGAAAAAACTAAACAAAGGTTCTAGACATTTGTTTGGAAAAAAGAGAGTTTTCTTCTATATCGCTTAAGTAGATAAGATAAAAGGTAAAATGTTTATGTAAGATTTGAGACTTGTGCAACATGTTTATGTTGTCTCTATATGGTAATGATGTTGGGGTTGCCGAACTTAGGTACACACCGCCGAAGGGCAAATAAGGAATCCCGGCGTGTACTCATCATTGATGATGATGTGTGATTCGGTGATCAGCCGCCGATATTTTCGCTTGGATATAGTCACATATCTGTTTTTGAAGGACGAGAGTGTGATATCTTTGCCAATCATGCTCTGATGATATATCTTGATTTCTGGCTTTCGTTTATTTTAGAGCTCTACCGGCTTGCTTTGTTATTGTGACTTTTGAGATTTCTTATAGATTATTTCGTGTATCATTTTGGTAATAAATGGAAATTTCTTTTGAACAAAAAAAAAACTAGCCACAATTTTGAGTTTCGTAGCTTTCCTTATTGCGTTGATCATGATAAAAAGGTGCATGATTATCCATTTCGTTTGTCACCTTAGTTTCACTTATTAGAGATGTCCAATAGATGGGTAAGATCGATTTCGATTTCAATTCCTATTTAAATATGGGTCGTTTCTATTATAAGATGTCAATTGCAGGTTAGGCCAAATCCACGTTAGCATGGGCTCGTTTTATTTTAGGGTTAATATCACGAAAAACTCTAAACTGGTATATGTATGACAAATTTACCCCAAACTAATTTTTTGACCTCCAAATTGGTACACCTGTTACAAATTTACCCCAAACTAATTTTTTGATTACTGAAAACTCTAAATTGGTACACTTGTGACAAATTTACCCTCTGTTAATTTCTTTTAATTTTGATTAATACCTCGAAAAATCACAAACTGGTACACCTGTGACAAACAGAGGGTAAAACCCCAAAATATAACACCGTCAATTGTCACGTGTCATTCAACTTATCAATTTGACTATAAAATTTAATAAAACTAACAGAGGGGTTAAATTTGTCACACGTGTGTACCGGTTTGGGGTTTTTCTTAGTAAAACAATTAGTTTAGGGTAAATTTATCACATGTGTACCGATTTGGGGTTTTTCACGGTATTAACCCTTTATTTTAAGTTATACATTTTTTGGGATATATGCGGGATTCGGTTCTCGTTGTTGTCAATTTTAGGTTCTTTCGAGTAACGGATAGTTTCAATATAGGTCAATTTTAGTCGGAAACTTTTTATCTGATTTTATTCAATTAGTTTATTATGATGGAATAATAAGGATTCATGGATTACAGGGTAAATTCTTTTTAAGGGTTAATACCACGAAAAACCCCAAGTTGGTACATTTATGACGATTTTACCCCAAACTAATTTTTTGACCACCAAAAACCCCAAACTGGTACACCTTTGACAAATTTACCCTCGGTTTGTTTTCGTTAAATTTTACTGTTAAATTGCTTTGTTAAATGACACGCGACAGTTGACTGATGTTCTGATTTTATGTTTTACCTTCCGTTTGTCACAGGTGTACCAATTTGTGATTTTTTGTGGTATTAATCTAATTTAATAGAAACTAACGGAGGGTAAATTTATCACAAATGTACCAGTTTGGGATTTTTAGTGGTCCAAAAATTAGTTTGGGGTAAAATTGTCACAAGTGTACCAGTTTGGGATTTTTCGTGGTATTAACCCTTCTTTTTATGAGCGATCGAATTGGGGACAAGTATGAAGAACCAGTGAGAAAAGCTTACACGCTTGAGGGACAGTTGTCTGTGTTAATAGAAAAGAAGCTTGGGAAGCTACTTTACAATTCTTTGTTTCCCACTCCTCCGTTCCTTCGAGAGAAATGCTCATGTGATTGTTCTTATTCATGAGAATAACAGCTTGTTTCTGGTCACAAAAAAATAAATAAAAAATAATAAGAAATTATTGTAGGGTCCTCCTTGAAGAATTTGTGGCTCACAATATACGATTATTCTAATAGTAGCCTAAAAACTGTTATGCTGGCAAAATTTTAATCATAGAAAAAACTTGGTGGTATGACCAAAGATGTATCTTTTTCAAAGTTTTACCACGATGATTAATTTATTTATCAGTCAAAGTCGATGAAGAAAAGAAGTTACCAAAGTTTATTCTTTCTCGTTACATTCGCGCATTTGGTTTTTTCCTAGGTTTTTGTTAAGCATTTTCTTGGGAACTTTAGTATCATTGGTGCCAAGAATTCTTTTAATTCCAATTCTAGCTCATCATTTCATGAGTTGATTACGGACAAACCATAGTCAAGAGGGGGTGAATTGGTTGGTGAATTGTGCGGTAGAAGTCGTGAGCACGAACAAATCTATCGATTCTTCTGCTAAATAAGGTAAAGAGTTTTTATTTTTTTTTGGTCGAAAGCAAATTTTATTCAATCAAAAGAGTTAAACATCAGAGCCAACATAATTGGATTCCTGATTAAGCAAATGCAATAGAGCTTGTGGTGATTTGGAAATCCAATTCTATGGAAGGCTGTTAAGTCGTTGGGCCTTGGCAACCCAATTTGCTATAGTATTTTGCCTTTCTATCACAGTGGGCCAGAGTTAAATTAGGAAAATGGCCTAGAAGCTTACGGGCCTTCATGATAAGCACTCTGACTTCTCATAAGCTTTGATATGTCCTCCTCACCGTCTGAACTTAAAGCCTAACTGTCTGACTCCATCACAATGAGTTTGTGTCTTCTGGAGAGAGAAAAATCTAGAGTTTCCACAAAACCTAAGGTTTCAGCTAGTGGTGCGACCATTTCCACTTGGCCGTACTCCATCCTTCCAGCTCTAACAGCCCTAATCAGACTGGAGTTCACCATGCAATTTTTGAAAAGTTACATCGATCGAGGATGCTTTCTTCTACTTGTAGCTATATACGTCTACAGATACAAACAAACCTCACTGCATCTGTCACTCTTCCCTCAGCTAACAATAGAAGAGGATGTAACCTCAATTGAGAAATAAATCAAAGCACAATGAACATATGCGCAATCTTCCCACAAAAAATTGGATGCAGGGAGTAGGAACTATTCTCTTTTCGTCCAACCAACCAACCACCGCTTTGATCTGTATCTAAGAACTCTTGAGTGCCTCCTGACTGTTTGAGGCTTCAATCACATGCATAGTCGTTGGTTTTGCCCGTTCTGACCAGCACAATGTTCATCTACTGAAATTAATGGGGAAAAGTGTCAGAAAAAGTCCTAAACTTATTGCATTGGTGCAAGTTTAGTTCTAAACCTTTTTTGGGTGTCAATTCAGTTCTAAACCTTTTTGACTTTGTGCCAATTTAGTTCTTCCGGCTAATTTTGGCCGAATATTGCTGACGTGGATGCCAGCCCACCTACGTGGCATTGCCGGCGATCACGTGGCCAACTTTTAATAATATTTTAATATTTTTCAAATTTATTTATTTATTTTTAAAATTATTTTTTTTTCCTTTCCTTTCCTTTCTTCTTCCTCTAGCTGGTCGTCGGATTAGCAATCAGCTAGACGGTCCTCGCCGGCCTCGAGCGAGCCTTGCTGGCCACTGGCGAGGCTCAACCTTCACCAGATCCGGCGAGGGCTCGAGCCTTGCCAGCGGCTAGGCGAGGCTCGAGGCGAGGCATGACCTTGCCGGATGGCCATGAGGGCAGCCTTGGGCTAGGCTAGCGAGGGTCGAGCCTTGCCGGCCATGGGTGAGACCCGACCTCACCAGTGGCTAGCGGGGCTCGCCAGAGGCCGGCGAGGCGGATCGGCAACCGACTGGAGGAAGAAGAAAGGGAAAGAATTTTTCAAAAATAAATAAATGTGAAAAATATTAAAATATTATTAAAAGTTATTCACGTTTTTCGCCGGCGGTGCCACGTAGGTCAGCCGGCATCCACGTCAGTAATATCCAATCAAAATTAGCCGGAAGGACTGAATTGGCACAATGACAAAAGGTATAAAACTGAATTGGCACAAAAAAAAGGTTTATGACTAAATTGGTACCAATGTAATAGGTTTGAGACTTTTCTAACACTTTTCCCGAAATTAACGGGTTGTTTTCATAAAAAAAACACGCTTCTTCTGCTACGTAGCTTCTTCTATTTTACCAACATTGGAAAAAACTGCTTCGATTTCCTCTAGGTTTGATTCCGATGGATTACAATGCTTTTTGGCAGTTGTGAAATACCATTTTGATTTGAAATTAACTTGGTATAGAGACTGGGTCTTGAAACTAGGTATGTAGAACATTGCAGGGGCAACTTCTACTTCGTTAGAGTGAGAAACTTCTACTGGTTCGCGGTTCTTCCAGACTTGCTACGATAACTCGTGCTTCAATCTGTTCAACAATAACCATTTGAAATCGTTCAAGTATCATTATGATTCTCAACCTTAATAAGTATTTTGATCTTCTAACTGGTACCTCTGTGCTTCTTCTATCTAAACAAGCTTGTTCTCCTGATGCAAGATCCTTTGACACAAGGAAGATATGGAAATTTGAGTTGCTTTGTTAGAACAATAGAACTTTTTCTCCATGAAAAACCCGCTTTTATTTCTCTCTGTATGTGTGGTTGTTTAGAAGATGAAGATCACTATTTATGTATCACTTAAACAAACTCGTCAGTAACGTAGCACCTCGAATCTCACAAAGTGAAGGGAGGGTCGCCATCTAGTAGTGCCTCAGTCCTTAGATCTTCGCAAATCCTATGTTTGGGTAATTTACGGGATTAAGATACGATCATGAACTTAAATACCATATTAGAGTCACCACCAATCCACTTAGGTAACTAAGTCGATTGTACACCCAAAGGGCTCAAATAGTGATATGAAAGTTAACTAACTTGGTGCACTTGTGAAGGAACTGGTCAAAAGAAAACTTGAGATCTTAGGTCCGACGGTTTAATTTTTTCATGTTGCTAATGGACACTTATAGGCACCATCATAAGGGTATGGGCTTGGAACATCGACCCTGGTGGTGGCTATTAGAACATTTGGCAGATCGTAACACGATATGTGTATGGAACATCAACGCCAGTAATCCGACGGCTTATGTTAGCAAAAATCGATTAGCAACAGAAAAAGTTAGACGAAATGTAACATGGACATTTTAAAAAATGGAGAAACGCTCCACTAGGGATTACAATAGTACGGGGCACGATGAATACTTCCCTGTCCCCACCCTGCCCCCACACAGGTCAAATTTTCCATCCCCGTTCCCACCTCAAAATTTTTTTTCTAAAAGATCAAACAAAAAAATTGGCTGGACAAAAATGTAGTGGAGATTATCTTTGATTAAATATAAGAGTTTAGTTTAAAGGGTGAACTTGAAATAAATCATTTAGTAATATTAATTTAAATGTGACGTAAAATCTAAAAAAGTTAACTATTTTGACAAAAAGTTTCTTATAGAGAGAGAGACTTTGGAGGATAGAAAGTAGGGGTGTGCACTGGACCGATCCAGGAACCGGACTGGACGGGACCGAACTGGCCGGATTTGGACAGTTCCCAATTTTCAAAATTTGGAATCGAAAACAACCAGTTTGGTTACCTTTACCAAAAAAAAAAAAAACAACCAGTTTGGTTACCGTTTCCCTTTGTGGAACTTGACCGGTAATTTTGCTTTTTTCTTTTGTATTTTTTTTCTCTAAACTAAAGAGTAAAGTTAGCAGAAACAAAGGCAAACTCTAGGCCTCTCGGTCTCATAGCTCTCGACTCTCTCGGCTCCCTCACCTCCCTCTCTCATGCCTCCTTACCCCTCGCCTCAGCTTGCCTCCCTTGCGGCCTCATCTCCCTTTCTCGCTCTCGCCTCGTCCTCTCAGCTTGCCTCAGGCCTCAGCTTTGGCTCTCGCTCTCAACTCGCCTCTCAACTCTCGCCTCCGCCTCGTTGCTGCTGACCCTCTACTTCAGCAAAGGGCACGAGTGAAATCAAGTAAAGATTGTAATTTTTGTGAAAAGATATGATTTTTATGCTTGTGAAGGAGGAGGTCGTGGAATGAGGTCGTGGAGGATGTAGTGGAGGAGAAAGGCAAGACCAAAGAAGAGGAAGGGTAGGCTGGAATTATGAAAGAAGGAGAAAGGCGACTGGAACTATGAAAGAATCAAGCTATAAAGAAAAGAGGGTCATGTGCTATTGTAGTCCTTAATATGTGGTTGTTCCTTAATTTGGCCATTGACATTGTGAGACACAGAATGAAATATGAAGTTGCTAAAAATATAGGAATTGGTTTAATTAGGTGATAATTTTATCCATAATGAAGGAATCAACACTTCTTTTCATCCAACAAACGCTATTCTTTTCCTTTTTGTAATGTATTAAACATTAGGCGTAAAGAGACTCACTTGTCATTCCAAAGTTTTTTTTTCCTTTTACCACGGTTCATCCAATCACAACAAAACTCATCCTAAATTATTTAAATTGACACAAAGGAAATAAACGGAAAAAAAAAGAAAGATCACCACTCATTCCGCACAAATCGTATAGCGTCTTGGGGGTGGAGAACAAAAAACCGAAGCTAATCACCAAAAATTCCCCAGAAAACCTGTTTTCCCGGGAAAGTCCACGAAAGCCAGAGAAAAAACAAAACGACGAAAAGGAAAGACAAGAAATGCACGGGGCAGTCCCATTGGTTGCCCTTGATCATTGCTCCCCCCAAAGAAAAGTCGACCCTTCCCTCGACGTACACATGAATCGATCCTCTTTCAGATGCTTGTTGCACCATTTCCTTCACTTGCTCGTCACCCTCGATCTCCACCAGCAATTCGTGGTCTTTACCGGGACTCTCGTACCACATTCTCTTCGGATGAAAGTCGAAACCTTTCACGCCAGCAATCAATCCCTCATATGTCACTGTATCCGAGGCGACCTCTGTTTCCCTCTTTATTTCACCGACAAACTCAAACCCCTCGCTTGACTTCTTTACTCCAAGGTGGAATATGATTCTGAAAGGATGATCGATCTGTGATGCAACGAGTTCAACTCGAGAGTCAAAACATCGTACGTGTTGGATACATAAAGAACCTTATCGCATTACCCCAAATCCAATTCGGCACAAACATAATTCATTAGTTAGAGATAGGCCTAATATTAAATACTTGAATGTCCAGTTGAATATCGGTAATACTTATTTGATTTTTCTTTTATTAACTTGACTTGAACTTTTAAAATGTATGCAACGTAAATTGAAATGGAACATCAAATAAAACTTTTCAAAAAGCGATTTTTTCCACTTTAAATTTTAAGATAGCAACTATTCACTTTCTCTCTAACAATCAAATCAAATTTAGATTACGTCATTTGTGGAACATCTTCTTTATACTGCTATAATAACTCCAAAATGGGGTCATTTCTTTTTTGAATATTATAGTGCTAATCTTTAGCTTCATTAGTTCCTATCGATACGCATAAACTGTCATGTCTGCTACTTCAAATAAGGCTTTATCCATATCTTGACAAGCGTTGCTCCTAAGATTACTTTGTATCTTGCAATTTCAATCTTGCTAACAACAAAAAACGGTATCAAGGTGGTACAGTAAGTAAAATGTCATATTGTCTGACACAAGGAAAATTACAAAAATAGTCCTAAACTTATTGCAATTGTGTCAATTCAGTCCATCCGGCCAAATTTGGCCGGCCGACGCTGACGTGGACGCCGGCCGATGCTGACGTGACAATTTTTAAATATTTTTTTTCGAAGTTTTTAAATATTTTTTTCGAATTTTTTTTCCATCTTCTTCCTGGCCGGTCATCGCCGGATCGGCCAGGGGTTGAGGTTGGCGAGGTTGAGCCTCGCTGTCGGCCGGGAGAGCTCAGCCTCGCCCAACGACGGCGAGGCAGCCTTGATCTAGCTCACCCTTGCCCATCGACGGCGAGGATGAGCCTTGCCATGGTCGGGTGAGCTCGACCTCGCCCTGCAACGGCGAGGCCGCCTAGATCTGGCAAGACCTTGCCGGCCTACCTCGCTAGCCCTTGGCCAGTCCGGTGACAACCGGCCATGAAGAAGATGAAAACAAAAATTCGAAACAAATAAAAAATAAAATCGAAAGAAATAAAAAAATATTAAAAAATTGCCACGTTAGCGCCCGTTAGCCAAAATTGGCCGGATGTACTGAATTGGCACAAATACAAAAGATTTAGGACTGATTGACACAAAAAAAAAAGGTTTAGGACTGAATTGATACAATTGTAATAGGTTTATGACTGTTTTGGTAATTTTCCCGTCGGACACACGACGAAGTCTTTTGCAATCTATCGTATGAAAATTATTCAGAACTTAATAAATTGTACAATCGTTGTCACATGAATGCTAGATTTGGTAAAGCAATGTAGTTATTTTCTGTTCGCTAATGCTAGGCTAGAGTTAGTGGGTATTATTTCCTTTTGTTTTTTATTCCTATTTGTAGATTACCTTACACGGAAGTTTGCCTTCTTAACGTACTAATCCACAAACCACATATAAAAGCACGAAAAAAATCCCCTTTTTTTCTATTTTTTCTATTTTTAAAATTACCGTAATTATATCTGCTTATAGTTATAGACACCAATGGCATAAAAGTTACTGATGATTTGTTTCTGGTAATTTTAATTTAAAATTATTGTTAAGTGATTTACTATATTTGTTGTTTGTTTTGTTTTTAGGTAGTTAGAATTTGGATTAATCTTTTATGGATAAATGAGGAATGAAGTTTAATAATTCATATTTTATGTAACGTGTTTTGATTTTTTTTATTGTTTATTTAATTTTACTTGAAAGTTCCTTGAAATGGTGACTAAGGATTTGTTTGTTCGCGGAAAATGAATGATTTGGAAAATATTTTTCTAAAAATGATTGCTTGTATCGCTTACAAAAATGAATGAACTAAAAGTTTTTTCATTGTCCATGAAAATGTTTAGATATAATTTGTTGTCGATAATGAAAATATTTTTTATTGACTAATTATATTGAGTAATATAAACGAACGGAGCCTAAAAGACATCTCTTTCTTAGTATTGGGTGATGAAACAAAAAAGAAATAGAAACCAATAAAAAAAGAATTGGCTGGTTCTAGGTCTATAGGATTAGGTCCGGGTGCCAAAATTTGGAAACCGGCTCTGAACAGGATGGGTTCCAAATCTAGAATCCATCAACTCTGGAATCGGTCATCTTTAGTTTCTAACTTTTCATTATACCCGATGGCTTGAAAGGTTTACACTGCTTCTTTCTTACTTGTTACTTCTTATCATTGCTCTTTTTAATTCCAATCCCTCTTCTACCCACATCTTGATGATATGCTGATGTGAAAAGTTCGTACTATATTAATGGAAGAGGCAAAAATAAACATTCTACTTATTCATACCCGAGAGGCCAACAAATTTGAAGGGGACAACATAATATCAAACATACGTACCATGAATTAGCCACCCCTTGTTCATTATTCATTTTCCCAAGCCGACACGTCCTTGAATCTAATGAGTTCTATTATTTTTCTTTTGTATGCTATGATCAAATCATTTGACATCATTTCTCCACACTCTCATTAATGCAATAAACAAATAAAATAAACTATTACTAACGTATAATCTTGAATTTGTGCATTAACTATGCTGATTGCAAATTTAAAAAAAAAAAGTAGACAAAGACATATGATGTCTTTGAAATCTATAATTTGTAATCAATTGTCTAATATCTCTCATCTGTGCACGCAGTTTTGATGAATTGATACTTAGAGAATGATTAGATGAGTTTACTGGCAATTTTGAAGAACCAAAACTAAATTATCCAACACCAAAAAGGCAAGTAGAGATAAGTGACTGAAATAATTGCAACCTAAATAATTAAAGTACATCGGAAAATGGGAACCTTAAAAGAGGGAGGAAAGATTGCTTCAGGAACCGAAAACATCCAACACCAAGAAAGGAGGATACCGTGTGGCTAAAGTAAGGAGGAAGTTTCTAATATATAACGCTTTCCTTTAAATTTTATTCCTTCCTTTACTAGCACAGGAGTACATATTTATAGTCTACTCATGTTTATTTTACGTATTGTTTTATTAGATACTAACAAAATACAAGAACCTGTATAAGACATACATTTTTACTGTTCATTAAGAATTTTCTCTTTCAAAAAATTATTTGCCTAATTTTTTTAGCTCTTTAAAGACTTTGGAATGCTTAACAGACGATAAGTAATCTATTACTGAAAGTAATGGGCAGAGATATTTGATGGAAGTTCCGAATTAGACAAAGTCCTTATTTATCTAAGGATTAATATCACCAAAAACTCCAAATCGGTACACATGTGACAAATTTACCAAAAATTATTTTTTGACCATCAAAAATCTTAAACTGGTACACCTATAACAAATTTACCTTAAGCTAATTTTTTGACCACAGAAAACCCAAACTGGTACATTTGTGACAAATTTACCCTCTATTAAATTAGATTAATATCACAAAAAATCACAAAATTGTACACCTATGACAAACGGAGGGTAAAACCCCTAACTGGTATATTCGTCAACAGTTACGTGTCATCCAACTTAGTAATTTGATGGTAAAATTTAATGTAAACTAACAGAAGGTAAAATTGTCACAGGTGTACCAGTTTGGTGATTTTTCGTGATAAAAGAATTAGTTTAGAGTAAATTTATCATAGGTGTACCAATTTAGGGTTTTTCGTGGTATTAACCCTTTATCTAATTAATATATGAACTATAACACCTATGGTCGGCCTTATATTAATCATTACAGGTAATTGCTCAAAATCCCCCTTGAACTTTAGCTCCCTTGCACGATGCTCTACATTTTGAAAATGTCATATTACTCTCCCAAACTTTGGCACTGCTACAAGATAGCAAGCAAACTTTGAAAGTTATAGATTACTGCCCAAACTTTCAGTGTTGTTTTAGCCATTACTTTTTTCCATTTGTGTGGCTGTTAAATGTTAATTGAAAATGGAGTAACTCACTATGAATAGAATAACATCTACAACATTTATGAAGTGAAGAAAATAGAGAATGATGCAAGATTAATAAAATCAGTTAAGAAAATTTGGTCAAGAAAAATGAGTTAGTCCATTTTTTTGGGTTACAATAATGAGTTCCTACTTACAGAAACCGGGTACAACCCCGTTCTCAGAGGTGGGGGATTCAAACATCCTACCTCCCCATTCCCATAGGAATGATGGCTACCAGGGCAATGCCCTAGGGGTATGAGTTGGTCTTAACGGTTATACAGTCTAAAAAACTAATGGATGCATCATAAATCAAAGTTTTTTTTGGTGGGACGAAAGTGGGGGTTAATCTATAACTTTTCAAAGTTTGTAGTTTGTGCAATCGTGTCAAAGTTCAAGAGGGCAATCATTGTTAGACATGGTGCCATCAAAATAAAACATCCCATATTACATAATATCCAACACTCATTTATATAACTAGCAATAAGTTTAAAATTATAATACTTTCATTTGTGTGTTTAATTAATTGGCAAAAACCACCAAAAATCCTAAACTATGCCCACTATGACACCTTTATTCTAAATTCTTTTCCATGACACAAAAAATCCCAAACTTGTACCTATGTGATATATTTACCCTCCTCAAATTTTTTCGATGAGAACCATTAAAAACCTGTCTACATTGACCATAAAAAGCAAATAGTGTTGACATGGCGCCACGTGGCTTAAGTGAAATAAAAATAACATTATTTTGGCTGAAAAATCATCTAATGGAACTTTGACGAAGGGTAAATGTGTCATATAGGTACAAGTTTGAGGTTTTTTTATGTCACAAGAAATTTTTTAAAATAAATGTATCACAGTGAGCATAGTTTGAGATTTTTGATGTTACAAAAAGTTCAGGGTAAACATGTCATAGTTGGTATAATTTGAGGTTTTTTGTGACTTTTTTCCCTTATTTAATTTGAGCAAAACAACATCTCAAATTTCAAGATTATGTTGAAGGAACACTAATTTATTTGAAATTATTTAAAGATCATCTCTAATAAATTTTCGTCATTGGATTAGAACCTACATTTTCGTCCAATTAAATTTCAGAATAATATTTAACTTTTTACAATTTATGTTGTTTTGTCGAATTATAGCATCAAAATGAAATTAGAACAATTCATGCATTCACAAATGTGTACTGTATATTGATGAAGAAGAAATCGCACCTTATTTGAGGTACCCTGAAGAATGTCCTCCCTGTAACGCTTAAAAGAGAATCTAGATTGGTAGAATTGGGTAGAATCTTTGATAAAGTCTCCGCACCCTTGTACTGTGACGAGGCAATCATCTGGTATATTTGGGCTTGTTTTATCAATCAACCTTCTCAATGACATGCACTCTTCGACCACCAGCCATTTCAGAGACTCTAGCTCGTTCACGCCCTCAACATTAGTGAGTGCATTGCACTTTCGGATTGCCAAATCCTCCAGTTTCTTCAAGTATGATAACCCATCTATTCTAGACAGCGATTCACACATAGAAATGTTTAAGCATTCCAATGATTCCGAAAGACCTGCAAATTTTATCTCCACTAGATCTGGGCAAGATGACACACACGCTTGCCGTAGCATCCTTGATTCCATAGGAATGGATAAATTCTGAAGCAGTTTACAACTATCAACAGTTAAGTTCTCCAGTCGGGGAAGTCCATTGAGTGGTATATCTTCCACTTCACCATAATACAACTCTAAAGTCGACAAATTACTCAATCTCAAGTAGGAGGGATGTAACTCTGCCCAACTGAAGCTAAAAACTTTTAAATCCAATTTTAGCAGAGAGGACGGAAGCTGCATGAGGGTTTCTTGGTTTAGGTCAGACAAAGTAAGCTCTTCCAGATGAGAAAGAGAAGCCAACTCTTGAGGTGCAAGAACCTTAAGCAGATTTAACTCTAACTTTTTCAATCTAGATAACATGCCAATCCACCTTATGTTGCATCCTCTTATTAGGTTTGATTTGCCTGTATTACGAGAGCCATCACTCAGTAGCAGCTCAACCAAATTAGTAAGGTTTGACAGATTAGGGACAGAGAGCAATGACTCAGATCTAAGAAGAAGACAGGTCAAACTTTTGGGAAGCTCCGGCAACTCTTGAATCCCATGACAATCTCTTAAGTTTAGTGTTTGGAGGTGATGAAGCATGTTGATTGTCCTTGGAATTCCACAAATACGGGTGCGCTCTAAATTTAGGATCCTTAAAGATGACAATTCTCCAATTCCAACAGGAATTTCGCCGATCATTTCATCACGCCCAGAGAAATCTAGCTCTTCAAGATTTTCCAATATGTTGATGCCACTAGGTAATTGCCAAACATGATGCTCCGAATAAGTAAATTCTTTCGACAATTCTCCGATTCCATCAGGAATTTCGCCATTCATTTCATCACACCCAAAGAGATCCAACTCTCCAAGATTTTCCAAAATGTTGATGCCGCTAGGAAACTGCCAAACATGATGCTCCGAATAGGAAAATTCTTTTGAAAGACGCAATACGCGTAATGATTTTAAGTTTCCAATGGAGTTGGGAAGGTCACTTATCCTCATGTTTTCCATAAGAAAAGACTCAAGTTTCACAAGTCGTTTGATGGAGTTTGGAATTTTAGCAATACCCGTACGTGATAAATCTAACTCTACCAATGAGGTTAAATTCCCAAGTGAGTTTGGAAGTTCTCTTAACTTACAACATCGCCTCAAGGAGAAGCGCTTAAGCTTCACTAGTGCCCCCACTTCGTCAGGCAAATTTGTAAGATCCATGCACCCTTCAATCTCTAACTCAATCAACGATTGTAGATCTCCAATGAAGTTTTGAATTCTCTTTAGCCTATTGCAGCGTGCAAGGGTCAACCTCTCTAAACCCAAGCATTTAGAGAAGTCTGGGATTGTCGTTATGCCATCACACTTAGTAAGAGATAGAACCTTCAAATTTTGTGCCCTCTGCAAAAAGGCATGGTGCGTCAAGCATAAGAACTATTCTATAGTACACATTGGAACTCTTAGACTAGAATTAAAACATGTAATTTACCTTGATCAAGTCCCATGCTTTTGAATCATTGGTGAAGTCATTCATGCCAAGTTTAAAAACCACGAGATGTACCAAATACATATTGTATGCCCCGAAACCCTGACGAGGAGGATGCCAAGAAATCCATCTCAACTTTGAACGACACTCTGCAAAGTCCCCGGTATAAGTTCCTTCGCATAACTTGAGGCATCTTAGGTTTTGTAACCTTTGAAACTCTTCATTTTTAATCTCTATGGAGTCATACAGTCCATCTATCTCAAGCGCTTGAACCTTGTCCTTCTCCTGCAAGTGAAATTTCACAATTATATGAAGAAGTTTGTCAACTTCCACCCACTATGTTTTATCAACTTGTATGAGCAGGAAGAAAATGACAAAGATCCTAAACAAAAGAGGAATAATTAATCCCGGGATATACAACTTCTATTTGAAAATGAGACGTTTCTTACTTACCTCTCTAGTTCGTATAATTTCGAGAGCTTCTTTTGCAATCCACAACCTACTCTGCTTTCCAAGGTCACTTGGACTTTCTTGACGGACAATTTGCCTTCCTAGGTCTATTAGTTGATCATGCATCCAGAACTTATCATTGTCCAATATCTTTACTAAGCAACGACTGGTAAGGACATCAATTCCTCTTTCCGGATAAGATTGACAATCAGCCCACATGTAAATTGCATCGGTCTTTGTCTCATTGAGAAAGAAGCATGCTATATCGAGAAAAATTTGTTTTTGATATTCATCTAGGTCATCATAGCTAATCTTCAACTTCTCTAGAATCGCTTTTTCAGGTACATTCTTTAACCTAACCATCGTCTCTTCCCAAAATGCTTTATCTTTCCGATTAAGTAATGAACCTGTCACTTTAATAGCCAATGGAAGCCCTCCCATACTTGAGATAATTTCACTTGAAATCCCATGATAATCATCCGAAGGAAAGTCTTTGCCAAAGGCATGTCTACAAAAAAGCTGAAGTGCAAGACCATCATTCATCTTTAGCATCTCATAAGGTAGAATTTCACCTTTAAATCCCTCAACTTTCAGAATAGACGTGCTTCTTGTTGTAATGATAAGCCTAGATCCTGAATGTAATGAACTATTCCCTGTTAGTTCTCTAATGTGCTCTTTATTATCAACATCATCTAGAACCACAAGGACCTTCTTAGTGCAGAGTATTTCTCCAATCCTCCTCATTCCTTGTTCAATATCCCTCAATTTTTCAGCAGATTCAGAACCAACAATGTCTGAAACTAATTTCTTCTGCAATTGGGCTATGCCCTCCTTGTTCGACGAGCTTTCTCGAACATCCTCAAGGAAGCTACAACACTTTCCAAAGTGGGAAGATAGATTATTGAATATGACCTTGGCAACAGTCGTCTTACCGATGCCACCCATTCCATAAATTACAATGAGCCTTACATCACGATGGTTGACATCTAATAACTCTGTCAAGTCTTTTACCCGATCATCAAGTCCAACTAAATATTCAGTCACTGGTTTTTGTTTTATCTCCAACTTCTCCAGAACCTTTTCAACAATCAATTTGACAGTTGTTGCTTGGCTGCCATGTACAAAAGCGCTTTCATTAGTTGTCTCAATTAATTTCATACCCATGCATCATGAACGACATATGAATATACCGAAGGATTGGTATAGGCTAATTTAGTAGAATTCACTGAATACGTTTTTCATATATGATTACAGAAATTTCTCAATACTATAGTATCATTTTACATGATGGCAATAGTTACCAAGTGGCTACAATATCGTGCATAGGCAAACTTTCAGCATTTATAGCTAAGCCTAGAAAAAATTTCAGCACTCATAATAGGTGCCAAAAAACATAATCTTGAAACCTGTAACTGTTTCCCAACGTAAGCTGTATAGCCGTTCTAACATTTGTACCGCTTTAACTTATGCATATAAGTCTTCAATGGATCTGATTATGTAAAATAAATTGGCATTTAAAGAGCCGTGTCACATTAAGATTTGTTCAAAATTGAAAATTGAGAGACCCAGCTTCTATGGGGTCAACTTGATAATTAAGGAATGAAGACATATGTTAATTAGGCGCACAACAAAGGTTTAATTCTCCAAACAATGCAATGTTTGGACCACTCTCCTGAGCTTTGGCTTACATCTTACTTGGTCCACTCATTTGGCAGGATAAGTCATGGTTTCCAAGTTTACCTATTTAAGTTAAACTTTCTTGTCAATCTAAAAACCAAATGGAGAGGCCTGTCAGTTTGCCAATAACTATGTCAATTGGTTATAATCCAAGATTCTCAAGCGGTATGTTGGGCCCATGGACCACATAATCCAAAAGCATAAGAGATTGTCTACTCTTAAAAAATTGTGCAAAAACAGCTCATTTACATTGAATCTGTCGCCCTAACTTATTAATCAAATTTACCAGTTTTTTTTGTATCAAAATTACCCTCACCACTCTCCTTGACTTATCACCATCGACCTTTAGCCGCCGCCAGCCTCGGTCCTTAGCAGTAATAGCAATTTTAATGAGCTATTCAGCGCTGTCTAATTGTCGGTGCTCACACCCGCGCGAAGTTCAGCACCCCCTTCAATTCATGTCCCTTCTTTCTATCTCTACGTCTCTCTCTCCCACCACTCGCGTGAGTGGCCACACCAATCGGAGGCCTCCGTCGCCAACGGTCGTCGCCTCTGGCCTGGACCAGACCGAAGTTGCCTGGCCTCGATGTGGACCTCCCCGCGAGCTCTGCATTGCTCGAGGTCCCGAGATGACAATCTGTCACTATTTACATGCTCTCAGGATGCTCTCACTTTTATGGAATATTTAGACATGATTTTTCTTTACAGAATCTTAGTTTCTTTCTGTAATTGGTGTTTCTTGAGGAGCACTTAGAAATATGCAAAATAAAGTTAGCACCAGATGGGATCTCTGATTTTTTTTTTCAGTCTTTCCCAGTAAATGGAAACTAATACTCTCATCACAAGGGTAAATAGAATTTCTGGATTGAGATTTTTATCTAATGCCAATTGTAGATTTTGATAAGTGAGGACCCCGAATTAATATATACGAAATCTGGAGTTGATTTTGGTGATTATCCAAATTAATATTTGCAAATGGGTGCTCTTGAATATTATGTAGCCTAACGAAACACTGAAGAGAAAAAATGGTTAAAAGCAATATGTAGGTCCATGTCATTAAAGTTATTGACATCGTAGGGGAAAACTTTAGGGAAGATCGTAAAAGCAGAGCATGTAAAGTTGAATGAAAGCAGCAATTGGAGGTAGTTTTCAATATTTTTTTTTTGGTTAAATAGTTTTCAATATTTGCCGTTAAGCAAAAAGTTAAAAAAATCATTTGATAGGGCAACGTTGTATTTCCTAAAAACGAAAATAGCATAATTAAAGTATTACCTTTGGTCTTTTTTCACGATCCATCCCTTGATTTCATCTGCCTCTGCAAGAGCCTCTCTCCACGCTTGGACTTCATTAGGAAACTCCTTCTCGTGCTTCAAAAAGGCTTCCCTATAGTGTGGAGTCTTAAGTTTCACATCCTCGGGTTCCACGTTGAAAAAAATGGGAAAGATACTTTTTTTACCCTTTGACTTAGACACGCTTTCTACCATATGGACAAGCTCACGGAGGCACCATTTACTGGAAGCATAAGTCTGAGAGAAGATAGATATGTAGATTATCGAGTCGTCGATAGCACATAGAAGGTTCTCACCAATCACTTCGCCGAAGCGGAGTTCATCATCGTCCCTAAATACGTGGACTCCGGCATCTACCAAGCCGTGGTATAGGAAGTCTGTGAATCCATAACGAGTATCAGGTCCTCTAAAACTCAAGAACACTTGATACTTACCTCCTAATGCACGTGCAGCATCACTACTCCTTTCGATCTCTGAGTTTGCCATAGCAAGGAAGCTTATTACTTCTAGACCCCTCTCTCCCCCCCCTCTCTCTCTCTCTCTCTCTCTCTCTCTCTCTCAAGAAAAAGGTTGGTGTGTGTGGGTTTAGCTGAGAAGTTGAGGTTTTCAATATGAACTAGCCAAATGAATGAGTCACCCCTCACCAGCAAAAAAGTGAAGACCAAGACTTTGGTCTTCGGTGGTTGGCTCACTTTAAGATCAAAGTAGCTTTTTAAAAAAGTAGGAGTCTATGAATCATGAAGAGTGTTGGGGTCTCTAAAACTCAAGAATATTTGGTACTTATCTCTTAATGCGAGTGCAACATCACTACTCCTTTCGACTTGTCAAAACATGTCTTAAGTTTGAGCCCATAAGCAAACCAGATGCAAAATTGTATGTAAAAATCTGACTCGTAATTTTGACATACTCGAATGAGGTATTTGTTAAGGTGTGGTTCATACTCCTCAGCAATAGGATAACAAAGGGGTCTCACTCCGGCGGGGGTCGCGGGGGCAGTGCTCCCAAGCCGCTAGAGGGCTTTTATAATTTGATTGGAGTAGGTTTTCTAAAAAGAAGTTTCCTATTTTGAACCAAATTATTGCATATATATATTCTCTTTTTCTTGTAATTAAGAGATGTATACGAGGGGTGCGGGGTGCTAATTATAGTGGAATCCTTAGCTGAATGTAGCCCTAGTTTAAGGGTGAATCAGGATACAACATTGCATTTCAATTTTTTTCTCGCTTTTGCTCTTTATTTTTTTTTGTGATTGTGCAGCGAATCCTAATAGTGCCGATTTGCAAAATCCACATTGGATTTGGATTGTTTCTTGGAGAGAAAAATACAAGCACACAATGTTGACTCATTTAATGCAGCATGTGGAGCTCACTTAAGGAGCTGTCACGCGTGGATCTTTGTTGTCTCCAAATCTGGGTGGAGCTCCCTCTCTTTTGTTTTTATTTCAAGGCACAACATGGACTTCTGGCCTTGAGAAATAATTGAAGTTCTTGTCTACAAGCTCTCTTGCTCTTCTTTCCAGCTGGGAGAGCATGTAACGTGGGCCACTTTGATTGATTGATCAAATAAATAAACAAAAAGAAAGTTGGTGATGGCTTCTTTCACCGAGAAGTCACGATAGTTGCAAGAATGGAAGGCGTCTCTTGGTTGTAAATAGAGGGAGAGCCATTGTGGTTGAAGTGTGCCTTGGTGCACCGAAATAGAGAGGGTGGTTTACTTGAGTTTGTTCATTGTAATTACATCCGACTGATTTAGCCAAGTAAATTCTTGCGACTAGAATTTATATAATTTATTTATGAAATTGAGTGATTATTTCATTAGGAATTATGAGGGCTAAACACTGTGTGTTATTGTGTGTAATTGGGGGTTGAGAAACACTAAGAGTGTTTGAATGCTCGAGTATGATTGTAATCTTCCTTATATTACTTGATCAATAATGAAATTCTATACTACTTTCTCCCCGTGAACGGAGGTCACACAGACCGAACCACGTAAATGCAGTATCCGATACAATTTTCCGTGTTCAGTCTATTTCAATATTATTCGATTCACTTATCTATTTTGTCAACAATTGATATCAGAGTTACGCTTCTATTAACAACATGGCCTTCGAGTTTGCCATAGCAAGGATGCTCATTATTTCCAGATCTCTCTCTCTAAAGAAAAAGGTTGGTGTGTGTGGCTTTGGTTAAGAACTGAGCTGAGGTTTTCAATATGAACTAGCCAAGTGAATGGGTCATCCCTCACCAGCCAAAAAGTGAAGACGACCAAGACTAGCTTGGTCTTTGTTGGCCGGCTCACTTTAAGATCAAAGTAGCTTTATTAAAAAGCGATGGACCATTTTAACCACAAAATATTATTCCACTGAAATCGGATGGCTTATTTGTCCGGTTGCAAAGGAGATTGAGGGCTGTGCGGTTATTCCCCTGAATGAAACACGTATTACAAGAAAGAAGATCACAGATCAAAAATAAGAAATGATAGAAAAAAAAAATTAAATAACCATAAACGAAGAACAAGCTATTACACAGCAATGTCATTTAAATATTTGTTCTCCCTAAAAAAAAAGGCTTGGATGACGTTGAGACCTACCGCAACAGCCGAAATCTTAATAATTTATCTATTGAAAAATACGCAACTTTAATGAGTATTTACTTTTATGTCGTTAGGATTGCTGTCGCGACCTCCTCCAACTGGTCTTGTCTAAGGGTTTAGCTAATGGATTACTTAACTAAACCTAGCTTTGGCCCTCCAAAGCCCATACCAATTCGCGACTTATAGTTCAAGTTATTAACATGCAAATCAATTTTATCTTGGAGTCACCACTAATCAATTTTAGGTGGGTTGATTAGATACCCAAGTAAATCGTAGGAGAATTGCTTTACTTTTACGAATCAGAGATTCAGTGAGTTCGGGGACTTGATTACACTAATTAACCAACTAGTGTCCTTTCAGTACCTAATTGCCGTGACCTCCCCGAACCAGTCTCGCAACCTAAGGGGCTTTGGCTAATGGATTACTAAGTTAAACCTAGCTCGAGCTTTCCCAAGCCCATACCAAATCGCGACTTAGGTTTAAGTTATTAACATGCAAATCAATTTCATCTAGGAGTCGTCATTAATGAGTTTTAGGTGGGTCGATTAGATACCTAATTAAAGCGTGGGAGAATTGCTTTACTTCTACGAACCAGAGATTCAATGAGTTCGGGGACTTGATTACACTAATTAACCAACTAGTACCCTTTTAATACCTAACTGTCGCGACCTCCCCAAACCGGTCTCGCCACCTAAGGGGCTTTGGCTAATGAATTACTAAGTTAAACCTAGCTCGGACTCTCCCAAGCTCATACCAAATCGCGACTTAGGTTTAAGTTATTAACATGCAAATCAATTTCATCTAGGAGTTATCACTAATCGGTTTTAGGTGGGTTGATTAGATACCCAAATAAAGCGTGGGAGAATTGCTTCACTTCTATGAACCGGAAATTCAATGGATTTGGGAACTTGATTATACTAATTAACTAACTAGTACCCTTTCGGTACCTAACCTTGTTCAATCACTACCTAACGTGTTCATGCAACAATCTTATCAATTATGGATTCTAATCCTAATCAAGCTAAATATATAACAACCAATGCATCGGAAATGCGCACTCAACGGCCTAACATATTTCTAATCAATCACATGCAAAGTTGAATTGAACAAGCAATTAAAACGTGCGAAGCAAGCGACGTGCAATTAAGCATGGCATTAATCACACAAAAAAGGGCAAGAGGGGCAATTCCAAAGCCCAATTTACAATTTTTAATTTAAGATTTTTTTTTTATTTTTTTAATAATAACAAATAAAAAATAATTTTTTGTATTAAAATAATAAAATAAATATTATATTATATGATTTAAACGGACCTGGGTCGGATCTCCACATCCAACTCAGATCGGGAACGACTCGAGTACACTAGCCCGGGTCCACCATTGGACCAGGCGCATTTATTGAGCCCAATTTGGCAAACTTAAAAAAAAAGAATTAAAAAAGAAAAAGGCCCAGCCGAAAACAAAACTAAAAAAAAAAGGGCTCAAAGTCCAACAAAAAATAAAACCTTAAACGCACCGGCCCATTACCTATTCCGGCCCATTCAAATGAAAACCTGGAGTTAAACCCTACCCGGTCGCAACCTGTGGGCCCAACTAGGTTCGCGGCTTGCCGAGTCAACTCGTGCAAAACCTACCCGGTCATGACCCGCACGCCCGACTCGGCTTCTAGCTATCGAACCGACTCATGTGGGCCTCCGACGCCCCCCTACGCTTTGCCTACCACCACCCAAGCCACCAATTGGCATTCTCTTCGTCCGTGCCACACGCTACTCCACCGCACCTACCGCGGGCGGCCTTAGCGCTGGCGGCCAGTCCCAAGCTGGCCAAACCTCGACGGTCCCTTGGCCAAGCTAAACCCCCCTGCTTGTGCATCGTCTCGCTGTGGACTGTTATCGTTCATCGGCAACAAACCAACTTAGCCAATTGAAAGGAGGCGAACTGATCTTCCACACACCAAAACACCACGAGTGAAGGAAGAGACATCAAGGTTTGGGAACGCATCACACACAAAGAAAAACAATTTACGGATCTCACTTAAGCATAACATCAAGCAGTTGGGGCGTGCCACAAAAACGATAGATTTTTGGCTCGATCGAGACTCAAACACGTCCGAGGTTCACACATAAGACACATTGATAAGCAGGATCGAGCATGAGGACATCAAGGGTCGGAGCTTGTGCGAGCTGGACGGCCACGAGCTCTGGCGAGTGAACCCAAAAACAAGGCAAGGGTGCCTAAATAGGGGAAGAGGTGGCGTTATCCCTAACTGACTCGGCAGCGGTGAATGAGGGCGAGCTTGATGAATCGGACTATGTTCGGTTGCCTCGTACGCCTCCGAGTCAAAATCCTCGAGGAAGCGACCGTGAATCAAACCGAAAAAACGAGCTCCGACGAGGGTCTGAGACCGAGACCTACCTTGACCTTATCACGAAAAATGGGATGCGTCGGAACACCACTGGCTACAGTTGAGGCGTGGCGGTCACCGACGGAAGACCCTTCAATCTCAAATCTCGATCTCTCTCTCTCTCTCTCTCTCTACTCTCTGTGTGCTGATCTCTCTCTATGTCTTCCCCTCATGCATGGCTCGCACTCGGCCTTTTAGGGGCAAGCCGGCACACACGACCAGCCCCTGTTGCGGCTTGCCTGTCCCCGACCCTCGAATCGCGCCGGACGGTCGCCTGCCGCACCTCCCCTATCTCTCTACATCCTCTGTCGCTTGTCCTTTCCCGTACTAACGTTCAAGGGAGCTGGAACAACGCTAGGGGGACGAATAGAAACAATGCACGGGCCGAGCTAGGGGGAAAAAGGGCTGGCCCACACGAAAAAAGAAATAAAAGCAAAGGGGAAAGAAAATAAGAAAAAATGGGTTGGCCCAACTGAAAAAGGGAAAAAAAAAAGAAACAAAAAAAGAAACAAAAAAAGAATAGGCTAGACGGACCGGGTCAGACCGGCCTAAAACTCCCTTTTTTTTGGGGATTAACAATTAATCTCTAATTTTTTATGCAATTAAACTGTAAATGAT